GGAAACCCTTGTATAATAACTCCTTTCCCTCCCCTCAAGATGCCCCGCAGTCACTCTGCACGAGTGAGTTCCCTTGTGATATCACATTCCTGCACCAGTTCGCTCACCCCCCGAACATGCTATTTGCGGTCAACCATCCCACCGAACAACCTTGAGGAAATAATACCATTCCCCCCCTCATTTTTGCCCTGTAGACAGCAAGGCGGAGTATCGTCCCTTGCTGGAAATGCATTGTCTAGACAGAGAACTCACGCCAAAGCCTGAAAAAGGATGGTCACCTCAGTCCGATTAACCTTGAGGGTTGAAGGTCAAACCCGCAACAGTGAAAGTGATTTTCATTGGATGGAAAATTGACCCCTCATGTGAATCACCCAATTGAACCATCAGCTAATCGTCATCGAACTCGAATAAATAGCCTGAACAAGCAAGATTCTGCCTTTTATGATCTGATCACTTGACGGTGAATGCTGGAAGGATCTGCACTCAGAACTTCGTCAGCATGATACATAACTGCATCCTAGGATATTAGCAAGTATATGACTTTAAGATCTGATCACTTGATTGTGGACGCTTGAAGTGACTAGACTTAGCACTTCACTGGCGTGATACTTAACTTCAACTGCTACCTAGAGTACTAGTAAGTACGCAACCATGATTTTGGTATTGCACTTGTATTGTTCATTCGCTATGTCGCAAATATTCGATCGTGGTTGATCCTATTCCAATAATGCCTATATTCACTTTATATTGATATTATGGATTATATTATTGTTTTTGCTGTGGGCTTCGACATGCCGCCATCCCATCATGGGGATGGTAGGTTGTTGTTCCAACTCGCCCATGTCTCTTTTAACGAGATGACAATACGGACACTATGTACCTGTAGATATAATGATTGTTATTGATACCATGTCCCATATTTCATTAATTAAAATGTTTGAGTGGTCTAACATTGTCGCGATGCAACATATGCTCCCGCCGACAATGACAAGACTTATAATCACATCCACCATTTGGATGTATATGCACTAGCTATGTCACCTTCCATACATCGATCTGAATTCGTTGCTGTTGGAACGGGACTTATCAGCTTATGGATATTCGCCTGGATACTTATCCAATTTTGTATCATTTTGCCTTTAGCCTGGTTTCTACTACTGGACCGACTTACCTTGAGCTGGAACTAGGGGATTGATCTACATCCTACACCAAACTACCTGACAGCTAGGACTTCGAGATCCAGGGACTCTCACCACCACGATTTATCGCGGGAGAGTCATTTTCCCCTCGCAGACATCCCAAGGACTCTACGACCGGGAACTCCGACTTCGCTACGCTCAGAACAGCACCGAAGGCCGGAACAGGGACACTACTTCTTGAACAGAAGGACTCCCACACTGTGTGATCCACCGAGACCATCACAGAATCTATAAAGGCTAAGTTTACCAAGAACGAGCATAGAACTTGAGCAATATAGCAGTAGTAATGATGATACCGTCTGTATGTTAGGGACACTTGCTTTGTGTTAATATACTTTTCTAATTGGATGAAATCCGTTTGATGTATATACATTGAGCACCACGAGTGTTTCACGTAGGAAGTTGTAAATATTATTGTGTAATAAATATTTGTAGTTAATTTCACCTTTAACTAGGACTTCGTTTCAGTCTATACTATATGTATATAGATAGGTGTTATGTCCGTGTGGTTATTCGGCTTAAATAACATATCCCTAGACAGAGTGCCAAGAGGAGATCTCATACGAGAGACACTCCTCTCTAATAAGTCATAAGTCAGATCACCATAGACACAACTATCAGATTTACATTGTACACAACTATCAGATTTTCATTATAGACTGCTATCAGATATACATCGTACACAACTATCAGATTTTCATTGTACACAACTATCAGATTTAGATTGGACGCAACTATAAGATTTACACTGTAGACAGCTATCAGAGTTACATTGTACACAGCTATCAGATTTACATTGTACACAACTATCAGATTTACATTATACACAACTCTCAGAGTATGCATGATAAATAACTGGAGAGTTCAAACATGCCATCACAATGGATTACAAAACGATAGGTTGTCATGGTGACATAGAAAATAAGTTGACACACGACACATTGACAATAAACACAAAACTAACTTTTAAAAAAGGGCGTGGCTAGCTTTTTACTGCCCCCTTTCCACGAACAAATCTCGGGAGTTGGTCGGAAATGCTGCCACTCAATAAAAAAAGAAAACAGTGCAGCCCGGACCTGCCGTTACCCCTCCCCACTCAATCCCCTTCCTACGCCGCTGGTCCCATATTAAATATAATAATAATACGTGAAATATTAATTTGTATTTATTCTCAAGCAGCGCCGCGGATGTTTTAACAAAATATACAATGTAAAAAAAAAAAAAAAAAAAAAAAAAANAAGTTGACACACGACACATTGACAATAAACACAAAACTAACTTTTAAAAAAGGGCGTGGCTAGCTTTTTACTGCCCCCTTTCCACGAACAAATCTCGGGAGTTGGTCGGAAATGCTGCCACTCAATAAAAAAAGAAAACAGTGCAGCCCGGACCTGCCGTTACCCCTCCCCACTCAATCCCCTTCCTACCCCGCTGGTCCCAAATTAAATATAATAATAATACGTGAAATATTAATTTGTATTTATTCTCAAGCAGCGCCGCGGATGTTTTAAAAAAATAAAAAATGTAAAAAAAAAAAAAAAAAAAAAAAGCTCGTTTGGCACTGCTTGTTTGCTGAGAGTCAATCAATCGAATGACAAAGCAAATAAAACAAGCCAGTTGCAATATTCGTTTAGCTCAGTTGATTTTTCAGCGTTTCTCTATAGCGTTGAGCCTTTTAACGCCTTATAGGCGCTTGTGGCATGCTATTATATTGAATGTGTTCACAATAATTAACAAAGAAGCACAAACAAATGTTGGATTTTAATTTGCAGGCGAAAGTGTAATAAAAACATATTTTATGTTATCCATTGAGAAGCGTTATGTATGGTAAATAGAACAAACCCTGAAAATAAAGTTTCTCATATAAATACTTTATAAAATGTGTGTGGGGGGGTGTGAAAATCTCACAAAGCAAGCATGATGAAGACAAGTAACTTTATCAGCATTCCAATTAGTTCCCGCCCCCCCCCCCTTTTTTTCCCAAGGCTCGCAACCGCGGCTTTTTTCACGCCCCTGAACTTTATTCATATTCTAATGACCCACCCGCTTTTACACCGCAGATTTATTTCACCAACTATTTCAGAAAAACAACAACAAAAAATATTGCGCTCTTTATATTTTTTGTTTTAATCTCATTTAGCGCAGTTTTCGGAAATTTTATTTCGTGAAATCATTTGTATCATAACTCCTTCATCCTCCGCGTGAAAAAACAGGAAAAAAACTCATTTTTTGGGGTTGGGGATCGGGGTTAGGGATCGGGGTTGGGCTGAAAATTTGACAGGGTGTGTCGTCATCGGCAACGAGTCTGTGTGCCAAGTTTCAGCTCGACAGGTTGACGGGAAGTGGTCCAGCCAGCCGCGAACAAGAGCGAAGTTAATAGAACAGATTTAAAAAGAAGTAAAATACTAAATTCTCTTATGAGCATTGCACAGTCCCTATTTAGAGAATAACAGTGATGTGATACACAACTAGGATATCTTATTGCCCGGGATTTTTATTATCCCTGAAAAAAGGAATTTAAGTTTTTCTTCAGCTCTGTTATATAATTTTGTATTCTAATTGGTGTCTTAAAGTTTGAGTCACCATTTCAATCATGGCATTAGATATGTCACCACTTATGGAAAATTCAGTTTTAAAATATTTTCCTTTCCAAGAATTAAACTTTTTTTTTTCAATATATCGTGGGAGCACTTTGCTTTTTCTATGAATGTGGTCGTGACTTGAAAAAGATTGAGAACCTGTGTATTAGAGCAACTGAACTTATTAATTCAGCGCACTTTGCTAGGTGTTACACTAATTTACAGGACTTGGCTTATAGCGACACTTTGGGTCAATCTGCCACGACTTACTGAAATATTTTATTTTATGTATAAAACTGTATTGTTAATTCAAGAGTGTTATCAGCATTTCCCGGGTTGGGAAAATTTAACGGGATGTCTTTTGTTTACTAAAAATCGGTCCGGGATCCCGGAAGAGAAAGACTATACACAACATATACAACAATTCAATCACACTGTGCTCAATATTGATAACGTTCACCTAGCAATGATGTAACCTCTTCTTCTTTAAAGTCGCCGTTTCCTGCAAGATCAAACCGATCGAGAATCGTGACGTATTGTGTCAGAAAGTCTTATCCAAAACAAACAAGGTGGGTCTGTACGGCGGTGGCAGTCTTACAAATTGTATTAGTATTCATAATGACTGTATGGGCTGTAATGACAGGGACACACCAAATGTTTTCAAGCTAGTCGTGACAGTAGGGGGGGGGGTAGTTTAGTCTGAAAAAAAGTACCAGTAAGATTTTAACAATGTGTCCCGTTTTACCCCCGGGGTAAGAAAAAACCCAGGAAACAATGGTGTTAGAAAGTGGGGCCCGGGGGGGGGGACCATACCGGGTGGCACCTTCTTTTCTTTATATCGGGGGGACGACACTTTTGACCAACTGCTGGATTTACTCATGGAAGGTGGGCGGCAAATGGCTTCAACTGCCCGGATCGTCAGTGGGGAAAGGGGAAAACCTAACGCTAACACTAACGACTAAGTTTGGTAAATAAATGTGTCTACATTCTCTATATAAGAATAGGGGGGGGGGGGATTTGTTCAAATGTGGACAGCTGTGGTCTGCGGTCTATGGGTGTTAACATTTTTTTTTTAGATTAATTGCGATCGTCTTCCTTCATTCTCTCATGTCGTATCCATTTGCGAAATTGCGAAATAATTATAATCATAGACATAAAGAAGTTTGTACAAACGTCTAATAGGTAGAACGGGAGATCACTCTAAATATTTATTTTGTTATTTAATCAACAGTTAATGTAAACAATACGAGTTTGTAATTTTTTACTCTAAATTATTGAATTTGTAAGTTCTGTTTGACATTATTCAAATGTCTTATATTATCAGATTTATTTATAACTTTAAATCTAATGACTCTTGCCTTTGCTCTTTATAAAAAGTGTTTATATTTCCTGGTATTTCACGATTAACAAACAACTCTTTGTACTTTGTAGCCACATCGCATATCATTTCATTATGACAATTATGACTTATGATAATAATATTATCATTTCATAATCATGTCCATGTCATGTGACGTTGTGAACAATTTTAGATAATAAGGAAGGGAGGGTGATGCAAATTATATTTGCTGATGTACCCTATAAATGCGTTTCCCGACCTGTGGTTGTGAGATGTCAGTTGAGGTGGTGCGAGGAACAGAGATTTAATTTTAAAAAGTGGCCATTGGCCATTGACTTTTAATTTTAAGTTATTACATAATGAAATACATTCATAAATATAAGTTTGTAAAAAATTGTTTATTAACATTATTATAATTAGTAATGGTCACAAGTTATTTTCTAAGCTCTACAGTGCTCTTTTTAATTCCATTAGCAAATTATAAGTCCATTTTCTTACATTTTAAAATGAATTATTACTTTTAAAGGGGCTGGGAGACTTAGGAAAAACATTTGTACAGTATACTACACTACTATAGTCTATACTTTACTACAAATTTGTCCTGTAGGCTACTCTAGGGGACCACAAAGCTGTATTAAAGGGACCCTGTTGACACTAGTTGCTACATCCCTTAGAGGAATACACGTTAGTTCCTTTGAGACTTAGTATAGTCACTGAAATTTGAGTACCACTGGTATAGTGAAGGGTTTTATACACTGCTTACTTGGAATCTAGGTACTTGTGTGTCAAAAGTTTGGACCCACTGTGTTCTTAGAGATCCTTCCCATATTGTGAAGCATCAACAATATGAGATGGTTCAGTTTTACTATCTAACACTCAGATTCCAACAGCCAGCATGACAATTCTTAGAAATTAAGAGAAGCTAAACTTAGAGCTAGATAGAGGAAGGAATAGTGGGTTGGGCGGAGCCAAACTTTCTTCATGATAACTTATTTTTTACAGTCCACTGCAATAGATAGATTGTGTGTAAAAAATGTTTTCCATCTTTCTCATGCTTAGCAGTCTATCTTCTCCATACAATTTTTTTTTCTTGGTAAGATTTTTGTATTCTAAATAGTGATAGTAATACTTTGGATGCTCTACTATCTTAATTAATTGGCCTATTTAATCTAGTTTTAATTGTTAACTAAAAAATTATAAATGACTAATTTATAATTATAATTTTCAACCACCCAGTCGTAGGTTGTTGTTTTTTTACATGCCTCCAAAAAGTTAACAAGATATGACATTTCGTATTTGAAATTTGATTTTACTGTAATAAAGTTTGGTGGGGGAGAGAAACCACAGTGTGTTTTGTGTTCTGGGGTGTTAGCATCCACTTCTCTAGAGACTAGCATATCAAAGAGACACCTGGAAACATCCCTGCTCAATAAACAAAGATGTCGACTTCTTTAAACGCCAGGCCAAACAATTTCACAAATCCAGGCTTGATGACACAAGAATTTTGCACAGAACAATAAGGCTGGTCTAAAAGCCTCCTATGAGGTTTAATAAAAGTAGCTGCTGCCAAGAAACCCTACATCATCGATGAGCAGTTGATATTACCTTGCTGCAAAGATATCATATTATATGTGCTGGGAACTTCTGTACTTGAGATGCTAAAGCATGTTTCCCTCTCAAGCAATACTGTTAGAAAGCAAATAGTGAGATGTGTCTGTTAACATACTGTAACAGCTGGTTCTGAATAGTCAGAATTTGATTTGCAACTTAGCATCTATGTGCAATATGTATATGACAAGCACATGGAAGATGACTTTTTGTTTTCCGCAACTCTAGAACAACTACTAAAGAAATATGTGACATACCAGTAGCATACAAATTCTTTGAGGCACATGGCATCAAATGGGAATATGTCATTGGTATGTCTACTGATGGGGCTCCAGCCATGCTTGATTGCTATTATGGTTTTCAAACTTGAGTTAAGCAGAAATCTCTAAATATTATGGGTACACATTTCACTATTTACTGCCCGCGGTTCTGAATTTGAAACACTCCCACATGAGGTGGTTTTTCAAAGGGAAAGGTTTGTAAAGATATCAATACAGATTAGATGCCAAAAATGACACGAGAGTTGTACTGGCAAAACAAAGCCAAAATTAGAACTGGTTCAGGCAAAGCAGATGTTCACATCTCATTGAATGTACATTTGATGACTAAGATTTGCCATTATCCCACTAACTTATTGTTTAGTCAAAAAATGTTTTGCTAATGGCAGCCTATGAGATAATTGTAGATAATTTGAAATGGTCCAGGAGCAATATAAAAATTTGTAAAGAGATGGTCACACAAGAAATCCTAAAAAAGTTTGAGAACTACTGCTTTACTATAACCCATGTAACCTATTATAAACTATTAAATCAGTTTATAAAGAACTAGAATATATGACTCGTTGTTACTGCGGTAATAAGGGAAAGCATTTTGAGCTTCTTTCTACCCGCTATTTTGAAGTTTCAACATCTAAATATACAATTTTTATGTAAATATTAACTATTTAACTGAATTGGGTTTAATTGATTGTATCCTCAAAAAACTAAATAAATTCCACAATTTTCAACACATTTGAAATGTATATTTTTGAAATAGTAAATCAGACTTGTCTTATTTTTTAAGTATCTATGTATAGATATTTAAGTTTCTAACATGAATGGGTTTTGAGAATATTTTTCTTCGATAAAATATAGGACTACTAAACACATTTTCAGGTCAACTGATCTTCAAGGAAAATATATTTTCTAAAAATTTTAAAAAGTATCTCCTCAATTTAAAAAAATAATTCTTTGTTCCGGTAAATCATGACTGTTACTGTTAAATTAATGGATTTTTTACTTATTTTTTTTATCATCATTAAAAATGACGTCAACCTCTGCCTCCCTCCTATATAATTGGAAAATCATAAAAAACAGAATTCTTATATCTAAATAAGAATGTATTGAACAATTTTGTCATCTGTAATAGTCTTGTGTTTTTTAAGAACCATTCTTAACTATTCTTAATCTTCATAAAAATTATCCATGCCTCTTAGCTGTATTTTGCATGTAAAAATATATTTCCTTAAGTTTAAAGAAAATCTTAACCCCTATTAGTTCACGCCCCTGAACTGTATTTTGGTGAAATGTATCTATTTTTAAAGATTTACATTTCACATCTGTAAAATTATTGGGTTTTTAGAAATTGTTATCTACATAAAGCTGTCGACACTCGCTTTCTTTCGCATTTTAAATATATTTTCACAAAATGTTAACAATTTATTTTTTAATATAAACATTTTGTTATACTCATAAATATGTGACCACACCTTATCCTTTCCCCTGAATTGTATATTTGGAAAAATTGAAACTATGATTTCCTTAGTTTCAAAGAAAATTGTATCCAATATTTTCTTCTTTTGAACTTCTTTGAGTTTTAAGTATGGTTATAAGTCTTACTTATGTAAATCTGTCCAAAATGTGCCAATGTCCTAGAACTGCATTTTCTGGCATAACTGAGATACATATTTGTTCATTTTGAAAGAAAATCTAAAACCTCATTTCACGATGGTAGTATTATCAAATTTAACTGTATTGTTTTTTACATTAAAATTTACACATCCTCTTTACTCCCACACAAATGTGTTTGTAGTAAAGCTTTAAATACATCATTTCATTAGTTTTGAAATTATATGTATGCTAAGTTCCGGTTTGTAACATATTTGAACTTAGAGAAATTGATATACCCACAAAATGCACCCACCTATTATGTGGTGTATCTTGTGGCAATATTAAAAAAATTGCACCACCCCCACCCCCCCCCCTCTCCACCCTTTACACCCCAAAAAAACTCACTTCTTTTTAATAGCTATGATTTCAAAAGATTTAAAGATATAGTTAACCACACGAAAATGTACTCATTGTCTTTCTTCTCCCTGAAATGTGCTTTCTGAATAAGGTTTAATACACTATTTGTTTTACTTTTAAAACTATGTTTATACCAATTTCCGATGTTTAACAAACTTGGGCTTTAAGATACAGCTATAGCCATGACATACGCCCAGACATTATTTGGTGCAGCTTGTGCTGCCTGTGGCAAAATCCAAAAATCACAGTCACCTCTGCCCACTCCCAAATATTTTATCAAGTTTTTAATAAACATTAATAAAAGCAGCACAATAACACCCTTAGTAACCCCATCTCATTTTTCAATAAACATTAATAAAAGCAGCACAATAACGCCCTTAGTAACCCCATCTCATTTTTTAATAAACATTAATAAAAGCAGCACAATAACGCCCTTAGTAACCCCATCTCATTTTTTAATAAACATTAATAAAAGCAGCACAATAACGCCCTTAGTAACCCCATCTCATTTTTCAATAAACATTAATAAAAGCAGCCCAATAACGCCCTTAGTAACCCCATCTCATTTTTCAATAAACATTAATAAAAGCAGCCCAATAACGCCCTTTGTAACCCCATCTCATTTTTCAATAAACATTAATAAAAGCAGCACAATAACGCCCTTAGTAACCCCATCTCATACATTTTGCACACACCCCTGAATTTTATTGATATTCTAATGGGATATCACATTTTACAATTCAGTATGCTGCATTTTCTTTTTTTTTTAAATAGCTAATCTTTATTTCCATATATTTTAATAATGATAGGATTATGTTTTTTTAAATTAAAATCTATACCAAAGTTCACTCTGTAATATATATTTAGGTTTGGAGAAAATGATATTGAAATGTCTTCCACCCCCCCACAACCCCCACCCCCCAAAAAACAAATTTTCCTCCCCCTTGAAATATAAAATACATAAATGGTAAAATAAATAGTTCAAAATTTTATTTTCAAATTTTCTATATTTTAATTTTAAACCATTATTGAACAATATTGCTTGATCAGCCTTTTTCTTTTTTTTCTTTTTTTTCTTTTTTTTTTTTTTTAAACTTTAAAAAAACAATTTTTAAAAATTTAAAAAAAAAAAAAAAAGTTTTGATGATGCATAAATAATTATCCTTACTCATCTTTATTTTAGCTATAATTTTGATCAAGTTTATTGTCCATGGCAAACTTTTCTGGAGAACCCAATAGAAGTAAAAGAAGGTCAGAAAATAATGGTAAGAAGTTTATTTAGAGAGTGAATATATATTTGTAGCAAACAGGACATTAAATGATAAAAATTATTTTAAGGACATGGTTCAATAACTAATTAAACTTATTTAATTTTTTTTAAAATAAGTTTATAGAAAAACTTTATGTTCATTTCCAACATCAATAATAAGTGCATTAAAATTCAACTCAGGTGTTTAAAGATGTAGATCAAGTGCTATACTTTATTTATTTCTTATCTAAATAAATCTCAATATAAAATAAACTCTTTGTTGTTATTATTTCTTTATCATATGGCAAATTGATTGTAGGCGTAGAGGCAAAGAAAAAGAAGAATAATGCTCTCTCGATTGCTGATGAAACAAGTCACCAAACTGAGGATGTTAATGCATCAAATATATTAGCATTATCACGACTGAGCTTTCATTTCTTTGATGTTCCTTGTGCTCAATTAGCGCGAAGTCTGCTTGGCCAGATTCTAATCAGAATTCAAGGTTCACAGCGCATCAGTGGCAGAATAGTGGAAACCGAGGCATATTTAGGTAAATTTATGAAAAATTGTGTTTGATTTTTAAAGTATTTATAATTAAATGTTTAACTGCAGATAATTTTATTTATACAGGATATTAGTTTCTATTAAACAAATTATTCTCACTCAAAGTAATAATGTTTTGTAAGTGTTTAAATGCCTTTCAAATTGCATCATGTTTTATTTGTATTGAGACATGAACCTATCAAATTTTGCAAAAAGGGTAAATCTTAAAAAGACTAAGATACCTGACTCAAATAAATGATGAAAGCTGTGTACCCCACCAAATTTCAGCACCATTTCTTTTTTTCTAAAGTGATTAAAAAGGTATAAGATAGCCTCTGCCAAAAAAAAAGAAAAAGAATACATTCTATGAATGTCAAGTTACGTAAAAGCTTGTAAAAGGATGGAGCATTTTAAAAAGGCCCCTATTTTTCAATTATCATCTCATAAAGTCAATTATGTAGACATAATATTGATAGTTGAGTTGGTTTCTGGTCTGGATTTTTACTTGGTTAAATTAAATACTTTTTTCATTGCCTTTTTACTATTCCATATAGTTACAAATTTATTTTGTTATTTTAACTACTCTTTTAGACACAGTAGTACTTTAAACTTTTTCTAAAACTTTTTTAGTTCTACTTGGGGAAACAACCCGTAATATTATAAAAGATATTTTAAAAATCTGAAATTTTCCAACATAGGTTTGGAAGATAAGGCTGCACATTCATTCAATGGCAAAAGAACTGAACGGAATGAAGCCATGTTTATGACCCCGGGCACAGCATATGTTTACAACATCTACGGCATGTACTGTTGTCTAAATATTTCCAGTCAAGGTAAAAATTGGTTTCATAAATTTGAAAGTAAATTTGTGTCTATTGCCTCAAGCCTTCAAACCCCTGGTGCATAATTTCCTCATCACCACCAGTAACAGAAACATTGCAAATCCCATCTACATGCATAGGAGCCAAAATGATCAATAAATTGATCGTGGGCCCTTAAGATATAGAAGAAGAAGAAGTAAAGGAATGTAATGCATTTGATAAGAAAGCATTTAATTTTGTTTAAGTTACATTGCAGTCATAAAAAAGGGTCTAAGAGAAAACTGTTAAGAAACACTGATCCGAAGTTATGAATTTTATTCACTTTAAAAAATGAGAAAGGTAATCTAATGAAATTTGTAAATTATATTCAATTTAATTTTAATTTTTTAACTGTAAATGTATAGATAAAGATGCATCTTTTAAATGGTTTAATTTAATTGGAAAATTAAATATAGTTATAACTTAAGTGTTATCATGTGAGCATCATTAGGCATGAAAAAATAATCTTTTCAGAGAATAGTAATGGTAATGTTGGGTATTTTGATAATTAAACTAATAATCTTGAGATCATAATTTTTGAACTTCCTTGTTGTCAAGGTGAAGGTTGTGCTGTACTGGTCAGGGCCCTGGAGCCAGTAGAAGGCGTCCACTTAATGAGAGAGCATCGTGGCAAGAATTCAACCAAACCACAAAAGGAGAAAGACATGACAAATGGACCATCCAAACTATGTCAAGCCATGGCAATCTCCAAGTCTGAGTTCAACAAGATTGATGTTACAACATCAAAGAGTTTGTTTCTGGAACAGGGGAGCACAGTTCTGGACAGTGACATTGTCAGATGTGCCAGGGTTAACATCGGCTACGCTGAGGAGTGGGAGCATAAGCCGCTACGATTTTATGTATTAGGAAATAAATGTGTGAGTGTTAGGGATAAACAAGCAGAGCAAAACATGTCAGGGACAGGAACTTGAATCTGTTAAGAGTGCGATATAACAGATACCAATACATTTGTTTTAGACTTTGGCCACCCCTGTTGGTACTGATGTGTATACTGTATGGGGTGGTCTGTATGGTATAGACGAGTTTGGATTGATGCTAGCTGATTGCATCAAAAAAGGATTTAACACTCATTCCAAGGCAATGATGGACAAAAATGACAGCAGACGGACTACATGAGCAATAAGCATCAACTCATATCAGAGAGGTACCAATGAGGCAGTTGCTCCCCTTTGTTAATTAAATAAATAGATATGTTGAATGAAGAAGGTATATATTTTAATTTGAATGAAGGTCATTGATATTTAATTAATTTTTGCCTTTTATGGTTTATACAAAAACTTAGCCACATTTCCTATTGTTTGGATTCTTCAATGAGTATTAATCATGTATTTTGAGTTTCTTTGAATCTGGATGTTACTGATTTATCTGCCACGGAGAAGTTCACAAGTTTTAGCCTATTTTAACCACTTCTGTCAGCAGCAGATAAATCGGCTTGTTGATTTCTAGGGCAAAAAATCAAATTCATTCATCACCAGGAAATATGGTGGGTCTGGAGGCTCTCTCCATGACAGGAAATATGGTGTGTCTGGAGACTCTCTCCATGACAGGAAATATGGTGTGTCTGGAGACTCTCTCCATGACAGGAAATATGGTGTGTCTGGAGGCTCTCTCCATGACAGGAAATATGGTGTGTTCTGGAGGCTCTCACCATGACAGGAAACAACACCCATCAAAGGCAGAGACTTACCAGCTATGTTCTTGTAATGGCACAACACTGGAGTGCATCAGGACCCCATGCAACTTAGTTTCACATGACAAATATCAAGAACTCGTTACTAAAATCCATAAATATCATCTTTCTCAAAACTGTCTCAATACCTCCCTGTGTCTCCAGTTATAACATTGACCAGTAATTTATTCATTGTTGGTTATTGCCAAAATGTTCTATTTAATGGTGAATAAATCTTTATGGTGTCAAATTCTTTTGTTCCTATTGTGTATGTGTTGTATCAAGAAGTAGTTTTACCTCCATATTTTAGATAACTTCAACTGCAGCTTTTGTTTTTTAGTAATCCTCTTGCACTTTTTGGGACAGTAATTTTCTATCATGGTTTAGGCCTCCCTCTTTATTTATCCTCCCAAAGTCACTCCCTCTCTCTCTCCCTTTCTATCTCTCTCTCTCTATCTATCTCTTTCTTACCAAAGTAATCTTTTCTTTGTCTCTCACTGACATCCTGTCACATGCGCATTATGGCTACTGTGAATTACCCCAGCTATTAACCTCTCTAGACTTCCTATCTTCCTTTGTGGTGCCACCTCGCCTTTGGTATCCCTAGTCATTAACCCCACCCCTGCTCCTCTGACCATCTACCGCAATTTTTCCCTTTCCTACTGTGCGTTTCATGGCTCCTGTCTGATTCTGTTAACTTATCTTATTATTATTATTATCATTATTAAAGTGGTTTTATGTAGCGCAGCACCCCAGGCTAGGGCTCGGCTCACTGTAGCACCCAGCCTAGGGCTCGGCTCACTGTAGCACCCAGCCTAGGGCTCGGCTCACTGTAGCACCCAGCCTAGGGCTCGGCTCACTGTAGCACCCAGCCTAGGGCTCGGCTCACTGCGCTTCATATTTGGTGTACGGTACCCGGTAACGTATACATAAGGGGTCGTCCATAAAGGATGTCTGCAGAGGGGGGGGGGGCAGAGGGGGATTCTTCCGAATCCAGACAAAGTGGGAGTGAATAAAGGGTCTTGTGGTATCTGTGGTATATGCTGCTTTAGGTCCACTGCGTATATTCCTCTGGCTGATATATTTTCAAAATTTCGAAAAAATTACAACCATAAACCACCAAGATACTCGTAAGAATTTCATGCGGGAGATCACTCTAAATATGTGTCTGCTTTTTATCAACAATTTTGTAAACGATGCAGGTTTCTTTGTGTTGTTTTTTTTCAAATCTGGTTGACGTTAATCGAATGAATTATATTTATATTAGGGGCCATTTTTTAAAGTCAATTCAGAGTATTCCAGTGTTTCCTAACTGGTAGCGTACTTCACCCACCACCAGTGGCGACGCCATCAAATTTAACATGGCGGGTCCCTTGCAGGTATTAAAAAAATTTGGCGGGTCCCAAATAAATGTATTAAAAATAAAATGTATTTATTAAGAAATATTTATTAATCTACTAACTTAACCCAAAGTTTACATACATTGTCAATTGTCATAATAAATTTATTTGAATGTATCATATTTGTAAGGTCAGTCACGTTTATCTAGAGAATCCACACTCGTGACACTCCACACTATTGACCCATTGACTCCAGATACACTGACACAGGACAGGCCAATTTCATTTCAAAATAATTCTGCAGTTAGGATACATTACCACGAATTTGTCCACCATACGTTCCAAATCCAGTTTCTTGGCCCTCTGTGAATGTAGCGATAGTACAGCAATATTTGACAAGCGCTCGTCAGTCATGGTTGTGCGAAGATGTGTTTTTATTAAAGCTAGTTGACTGAATGATCTTTCTGCTTCTGCAGATGACACCGGTATCGTGCATCCAATTTGTAGTAGTCGTTTACTTTCGTAGAATGCGTCCTCGTATTTCTCGAGAAATTCCAGCACATCCAGCATATCCAGCATAGAAACTACTTCACAATCGTTGCTCTCCTTCATTCTTTCTACCAATCTCTGGAATTGTTTAATTTCGATTTCTAAATCAATGAGGTTCCCTTTGTAATGATTCGCTAGGGGAATAATGTTACCAAAATCAAGGAATTTTTCATTATTAGGCACAAATGAGTCAATTCCAGACAGCATCTTCATTGTATCGGAAGAAAATCTATTTTTTAATTCCTGTAGTACTTTGTCCAGTATAGGATTATATATGCGCGCACGAATATTACTACTCAAAGCTGTGTGACCACTTTGTAGAAGACCAATTGGTTCTGTAACAACAGCTTCAGCAATATGTTTAGGGAATTTTCTACGTCTTTCCTGTCTAACAATCAAACCATGCTGTTCACAAATTTCTACTGCTTTTTGAACAAATTCATCGCAACGATGTTCTACCCGCATATCTGTAAAACTTTCAATAGGTTTTTGAACTAAGTCACAGCTCGACTAATGTGTAGTCCCTTTAGTTGAAGATGATCAGACACATTCTTCATTCTCTGGCTGAAAACCAGTAAATTAAAAACAAAATTAAAGTCCATCAAACATGTCAAAGCTGTGGCCTCGCAGGCACGGTCACGATTGTCTTCCTCTGTAATTATGTCCAGCAGTTGTAACAGACAAGAAAAACGATTCCAAACTGCTTCGCACGCTACAATTTGAGATGCCCAGCGTGTGTCGGACAGTTTTTTTTAAACATATAAAGGCATTTAAAATGGAAGTTCTCTTACAAGTAATGTAGTTTACGCTTAATGAGCATATATACAATATTAGTAACTAATAAAAATTTACCAGGTCATTTGCCAGGTCCCAAGTTTTTTTACCAGGTCCTGGTCAACTGGGCGGTGGTGATGGACGAGGAAAAGGGGGTGGAGAAACGGTCCCCTCTGCAACGCCGGCCTTTAGCGTGTGCGACCTGTGCCCTCGCACAGGGCGCCGTGGCCATAGGGGCGCCCAGTAAATATTTAAATTCCCTTAGTTTATTATAGTGCAGTACCGTAGAAAAACGTAACAGTCTAAATTAATTTGCATGTTAAAATGCGTATAGCTACATGTATAGCATCATAACACGTGCTCCATAGCCTACGCCGTAATCGGAAAAAGAGCGGAGCCATACAAGGACAGAGAAAAGGGCGCCGAACGTGTGCTTTGTACAGGGCGAAAGTTTACTTAAGGCCAGCGTAGCGTCCTGGGGCAGCCCTTATGTCCTGGGGCAGCCCTTATGTCCTGGGGCAGCCCTTATGTCCTGGGGCAGCCCTTATGTCCTGGGGCAGCCCTTATACTTCTATGGAGGGGCGGCATGGTAGGCCAACTGCAGAATTGTCGTGACGGTAGTGCGGCTAAAATGTTCGACTGCCTGGTGGTGTCTTAAACTCTGGCTATGACAAAGTCATGGGATATAAGAAATGGGTTCATAAATCCTAGCTATGACAAAGTCATGGGATATAAGAAATGTGTTCATAAATCCTAACTATGACAAAGTCATGGGATATAGGAAATGTGTGCATAAATCCTAGCTATGACAAAGTCATGGGATATAAGAAATGTGTGCATAAATCCTAGCTATGACAAAGTCATGCGATATAGGAAATGTGTGCATAAATCCTAGCTATGACAAAGTCATGGGATATAGGAAATGTGTGCATAAATCCTAGCTATGACAAAGTCATGGGATATAAGAAATGTGTGCATAAATCCTAGCTATGACAAAGTCATGCGATATAAGAAATGTGTGCATAAATCCTAGCTATGACAAAGTCATGGGATATAGGAAATGTGTGCATAAATCCTAGCTATGACAAAGCCATGGCATATAAGAAATGTATTTGATTCAAACTGTTGGGGGGGGGAGTGGGGTGTAATGTTTTTAAAAAATGTATTTAACCACCTTTATGTTTTTCATATATTGCTATACAAACATATTTCAACTGATCAGTGTTCGTTTTATCCAACAATTTTGAATCTTCGATACATTTGATACAATTCTGTTGTAAAGTAGCATCAAGACCGTTCGCCCTCCCACACACATAAAAACATTGGGATGCGTTGGGTAAGTCACATGCAGACAATGGGGGGGAGGGAGGGGGGGATGTTATACGGACGTCCTTCATGGACAGGCCCTAAAATCTCGGACAAGCTCAAATTTCTTTTTTCCCGTAGACTTCTACAGGGACAAACTCACGGTGTTAAAGAAATTGCTTTGACTTCCCAGAATGTCTTTTCAGAAGTCATGTGCTAGCTCAGATGTCACACAACAGAAATGTATGTAGCCTGTCCTCCCAACATCATGAACTTTCCCCCCCCCCTTTTTTCCCCGGGCCACTTTTTTTCCTTTTGTTTTAGTCATTTTTATGTGAATGCGCCAGAGGTTTAAAAAAAAAAAACTCGAAATTAAAAGTTACATCTAATTTTATCACGTCATCTTGACAGCGTGACACGTCTAACTTGATCACGTCAACTTGACAGCGTGACACAACTAATTTTTATGTGAATGCGCCAGAGGTTTAAAAAAAAAACTCGAAATTAAAAGTTACATCTAATTTTATCACGTCATCTTGACAGCGTGACACGTCTAACTTGATCACGTCAACTTGACAGCGTGACACAACTAACTTTATCATATCATCTTGATGGCGTGACACATCTAACTTAATCATATCATCTTGATGGCGTGACACATCTAACTTAATCACAACACGTCGATTTTACGAACTGATTGTGGCCTCCGTTTTTTGTTTTTTTTTTCGGATATCCAACCTGTGTATAACAATGCCAGAGTATCGCGTGCGTCACTCACTGAACATCGCTGGTGGCAGTGTTTTCTGCGGTCTGCGAGGATTCAAAATAGGTGCACTGAACAGACCCTTAGTGTTGTTACAACATAAAATAAAATGCCTTTCAACGCTGTAACTCATAGTTGTATCACTCCATATATCCATCAACGTTTACTGATCACCACTTTCTGGGTTTTTCTAAGTCAGCCAAGAACAAATTCGTTAGGTCTACTTGTCTATTTACTTCTATTGGAATATGTCTATTGCTACCTACATTGTACTTTCAATCACGCGAGAGGACGTAATGCTACGTCATTGATTTATTTATAGATTTGAGGTAAACGATAAACCACGCGGTTTATCAACACACTGTTAATTGACTTATCCTTTTCACAATTTTAACATATTATCTCATACGGATATTATTAGTATATCTGTACATCGACACTTCTTTGCTGTTGATGAGAACTTGGGACAAAATCCTACTGAACTGTGGACTAA